CGAGAGTCATRACTCATGATCACGTATACAATTGAATTTTTACGGGCTGATATATGATTAATTGCTTTAGTATGCTAAGACAGTTGTACTTGTAATGCTACAAATGATTAAGTAAGTAATTAATGTCTTTTCTTTTAGTCAGGAGACAATATCCACTGTCAGATTACAAGTAACTTTTTAATGTTGACATTCACGTATTTGGTAAGTCAAATGCTCATAAATTAGTGCTAATATTTCTGTAAAATCATGAGGGGTATTTTCATACCATTTTAGATATAAAGCTCAATAATTTTTAGTATCATGTGCAGGCAACAAATCATTTTGTCCTTTTGGGAACCCTCTGCCATCTTCTTGGCCGAGCGGCCACAGTCTCCTTAGGTCATATTGAGGAAAACAGGAAGCCCAAAAATAGAAAAAGAGGGACTGTCATTAGTTTTCTGTTCATTTATAACTAAATTCAATATGTTGTTTCTATAGGTGCTAGGACGTGGTGGCATTCGYCATACTGGAAGTGGTGCAATACAAGGAAATGGGGACTATAATGCTACCTTCAATGTGACCTCCCTGCCTATAATGTCCCCGTCGGCTCGTATTGTGACTTATACTGTGACAAAAGACGGTGAAGTTGTGGTTGACAGCCTGACAGTGTCAGTTGAGAATCCATTCAAAAATAAGGTTACCACATCAACATCATATCACGAATTAGTATTACAATACTAGTGGACTATTGCAAATCCTTCGTTCTGATTGGCTACGCTACTCGGGGTCTATTTTCAATAGTCCTCGACTTGCGAAAAGCGATAACTTTTTGCGTATTTTTAGCAATAAAAACATTTAGTTATTTATACATATATCATTCATTTTTTTGTCCGACTAGCATGGTAACATTAAAACAATTAGATCTCTCGGCCTCGAGGACTACGAGGCGATAGCCCATTCGGCCTTCGAAAAGAGGAACTCCTTTTTTGTCTTCCCGTGGTTCATTTCGGAGCGCGCACATACACCTATATACTGACATTTAATAAACTTCTAAACACAAATAACATTTACTTCATATGATTATCTATGAATACCTATATTTCTCCATTTCGTATTTTAACATAAAAGTGAAATAACACATTCGAGGTTTCTCTATATAGTGATCAAGTAAGAAGAAAGGTATTTTACGAAATAATTTGCTTTCATGTGCAATTATATGATAAACAGAATATTACAATGGTCGCTTGGAGATACGAATTTTATCTTCTCGTGTTGAAAATCTCTACGCTCACTCGTGAAAGGACCTTTTCAACACTCGAAGATAAAATCCGTTTCTCCGCGCGCCCATGTAATATCCTCTATATCTAACATAAAACGTTAAAGAATAAAGTATTGATTTTTCTGATTTTCTTTTAACGTTAGGTTTCACTCAAGTTCAGTACCAACACCTCGMGACCAGGAGATGAAATCAGGTTRGTTGCCAAGGCAACTGCGGGTTCWCAAATTGCATTCCTTGCTGTCGATAAAAGTGTTCTACTTATGAAGAAAGACAACGACATCAGTCAAAATCAGGTTTGTACTTTTATGACTACACAATCGTAGCATTAGTAGTTATTTTTTATCACATTTTGTTGACTGTCGGACTTTTCCTCTACGCCACTACACCGAATAGGATCATGGGTAAATTAGTAACTAGGTAACCATGGAGACTGAAAAATCTCCCCTTTTGGATGGTTCACTACAAAACATATTTTATCCAGAAATTTCCATTTTTTTATAATGTTTAATCGTTAAAATGTTTCTATCCATGATTCTCTTCCCTGATACCGAGCAGTGATACAACACGTGGTTAAAATACTACAGGCAGGTAGCACCTGTAAGGTAAACAATAGTACCCTTACAAACTCATGTGGATCGACTTTCTATAAGCTATGCAAATTAGCTGTAATTGACGTCTTCTGCACCAAGCCACCACTCTCCGCAGGGGCGCGGATACAGGGGAGGTGCTTTAGGTGCGGGCGCACCCCCCCTCCCCCCCTTTTGGACGACGTAATATTTTTGTATATATCAGGATAAACGTTTTTTCTGCTGTTTATACTCCTATTACTTTAATCGAGAAAACGACATACACAACATGTGTCTGCCACTATTCTGCCTAACAATCTATTTGAGTAGTGTAGTCAAAGAGACCTTGCAATAAAGTTCGATTTGCTTCTGGTCAAATTGTGAATAATTTTCTTGCTCTAGACAATACGCAGCTAACAAAAAAAGATCAGTTCCATCTGCTATACTTGTCATACTTAGTTTTTAGCTGCAAAAAAAGCACCCCCCACCCCCCTTATAAAACGCTAGATCCGCCCCTGCTCGCCTACTAACTGSCTACATTCCCTGAGTTATACAGGGTATGAAGAAGCTACGTAAGATATTCTCGTAACCGAATAAATACGTCTTTTATTATCAGTTTATTTTGACTTGAAGGTTTTACGTGAGCTCCAATCATATTCTACTGGCACGGGATGGTATCCGTGGTGGGATTGGGGATGGTGGGGATGTCATGTGCCGTTTTATGTTGGTGGAGTGGATGCRCACTCGGTGTTCAAGGTAAATCTATTGTCCATATAGTTGTTGTAGTTCGTATACTGTATACAGCAATATGTAGAAATTATGATCATCCAAGTATATAAAAAAGATATCAGAAATTATATTAATTTATACTGGTTGGCTAGTACTAGTACTTTCTGAAAAAAATATTGGTGATGATCACTGGAAAAAAATCGCGCGCTTTAAAGGTTGTAAATTTAATGTAAATGATTTCCATTGAATTTATAGAATTTTGGACACTTACATCATATTTACATCAAATTTACAACCTTTAAAGTGCGCGATTTTTTCCAGTGGATATTCCATTTAATTTCTGATATATTTTATATTACTTGAAATGAGTCAAAATGATCATAATTTCTGAATATTGCTGTATATAACAATATGTAAGTATACTATATAATATTTACCTTTTTACATTTTTGTTCAAAGAACTCTGGCCTGATTGTTTTCTCCGATGGATTAGTGTACAAGAAACCAATACCAATATGGCGATTTCGAATTCTCGGTAAAACTTTAGCCATTCTATTTCTTTTTTTCTGAGTACGTTTTGTTGTTGCTGTTGATGTTGTTGTTGTTTGTTTGTGTTTTTTTTTCTTTTTGATAAAAAGTGTGTTATATATTTAATCGAGTATAACTCAAAAGTATTTATTTTCMTTTTAGACAGTGTGCGAGCTGATGTTGAGACTGAAGAGGCTGCTCTTCTTTCTCCAAAATCCTCCCCTAAGAAAGTTCGATCGTTCTTTCCAGAGACTTGGATTTGGGCTGATCTCAATGCTAGGTAAAATCTATCTTACATTTCTTGAACTGGGGAAGAGTTTTACTCAATTTATGCCATGCAACCTATTCACAACAGTACCAGTGGTGAAGCTGAGCTAACCACCATGGCTCCTGATACCATCACCTCATGGATTGCAAGCGCTTTTGCTATATCACCAACTACGGGATTTGGAATTTCTCCTTTGAAACCAAAGGTGKGAATTGTTGTTCTGATTGAATAAGCCTAACTTTATAATTACAAGTATTAATTCGACCAAAACGTTTTCAGACGCAACTTCAGCATATTTTTTACCAACGATTTAAGCAGGCCAGTGAACAACTTGCAATTTTTTTGTACAGTTATAAAAGTTGAAAGAGTCGGATGATTTCAAACTTGAACTGTAACAATGTTTAAGATTTCTTTGTACGCAGGCATAAGTACTAAAAATTAAAGAATTCTCTGCGCTTACTTGCAATTTTATTACCGAGCTTTCAGCCTAAGCGGTCATTATCAATGTTGTTCCATAAGTTTCAAATTTAGCTTTCATATTTCTTCGCATTAAAACAAAAAAATGTAACATGGTATAGCTTCATATTTAGTTTAATTAATCTTAAATAATTATTATCATTAACAGCTTCAGGTTTTCCAGCCGTTTTTCATATCATTGGATCTGCCATATTCTGTTGTACGAGGAGAAGAAGTAGCAATCAAGGTTTTGGTGTTCAACTACTTAAGCGAGGAACAAAAGGTGAAGGCGGGCATGATAGTGATTGACTGTGAACATATACTCCCTGCTTCTTAAATAATTATGTTTTGAAAACTGAAGAAATATATATCTGAATTCGAAATACCTTAATAAGATAACTTGAATTGGTTTTAAACATTGAAAATCATCTCAAAATGACCAATTGATTTGAGCAACGACTCGCCTAAACATTGAAATATGTTAATGCTGAATTTTAACATCATTTTACTAACCTTTCCAAATTAGCTCAATTTCCCCTGGTTTTGTTGAAGTAGTTAGGTAAACTAATTTCTCCTCCGAAGACATTGCTTCTTCCCTCAAAAACTTTTATAAATGAAAAATTGAACCGCGACCTTGAAGACACTTCAACCATTCTTGTCACATTATGTTGCTTTCTGAATGCGTCGTCTGTGGAGCTATGGCTTCCAGCGAAGAGAGTATGTGTATATTCTGTGTGGATACCATTTTGGAGAGTCGCAAACAACTAAACTACGACGACGTAAACGAGCAACTAACTGCAAGACAGTCTMGTGTGCACTAAATGAGTTTTGGTTTGATTTCGTCGGCATTGAATCAATCGTCATTATGTGCATCAAGTCCCAAAGGAAAAATAATTTTCTTTCATTTGTTTCCCGTAACAAGTGCATCGACTGAGACCTTTTATGATTTAAAGTTTAATTGATTGTCAATGAAATGCTCTTGAAAAGCCCATATACACCAACGAACCTTTGATATTGTATCTTTTGTTTTAAGATGATCTCTTGTTGAAAAGTGATTTCTGATTGGTTCACAATTAAAGATTACTTATTTCCTTATTTGACAAAATTGTGCAAAGCCTCTTGGATGCACGTGGGGCTTTAAACGATTCATTAACGATTTTTTTAAATGTTTCTAAAAAAAGGGCGTGGTTCTCCACCTCCCTCGGATCAAATTCTCTGATTGGCTGTGTCGTTCTTAAAAGAACAATGACATTTTGTCTTTTGTTTTCTTCTTTTGTTTTGAGCAAGYTTGTTGGATTATATCTTCCGAGATTTGAAAGCCTACCCAGAAAAGGTGAAGCGTGAAACTGAAATAGCCTCGGCTATACGTCGCGCGCGTTAATTTCTTTACATGATAAAACACTTATTTCCACGCTCCACTCTTGATATTACTTATCATTACATTGTCATTGCAATATTATCAAAATGCTTTATTTTTCTAGGTTACAGTAACCTTTAAAGCTTCTAAAGACTGGTCAATCGCTCAAAATATCACCAGTGACCGCAAYGAGGAACCTAAAGATTTCAAGGAAATCCTCTTAGTTCATGCTGGGCAGGGAAAGTCGGTAGCCTTTCCTATTGTCCCTAAAGTACTTGGTGGAATCATTCTTACGGTGCATGCGCARTCTGGTATGGCAGAGGATGCTATTCGTAGAACTTTATTGGTTGAGGTAAGGAGAGTAGTATTGGGCTCCCTGTTTGCAGTCAAACGCTTTCACTGATTGGGTTATTGTTGAGTTCTTTCTTTACCATCCTGCAATGATCGTACTGTATGAAAGCAGGGATCTTTTTTGATTTAACAGCAAATGATCTAGAAACTCAGTATCGATAGCAGCGGCCTAACTCGGGCTAACAAGTCTAACAAGAAACTTAACACAATGAGCCAGTGCATGAAGGTCTAGCTATAAATTGGTTCTTTGAAAATTCTTTCGCAGCCTGAAGGAATACCGCAGGAATATTCATACAGCTTTCTGGTGGATCTCAATTCGAGTAGGTAGAATTAACCGTATAAAGATTTCTCTGTCCTATTGTAGCTTTAAAGATGGTTCACTTTGGAGGCGTGGCGGGTGGTAACCTTTGCTAAATCAGGAATTTTGTCATCAAAATCTTTTCGATGAAAATTCCTTATTCCTTTTTGGAATGCCTTTTTAGGGGTGAATTCATGATTCCATATGCTACTAAAAAGTCTCGTTGTTGGTAAAAATTCCTGGATGTAACGCAGGCTACTGCTGAGTTTTTAATTACACACGTACACTGTTTCAAAGAACTATTTTTTCCATTTGTTATTTATTCCTGGAGATGAACCGTTCATTAATTTTGTTTTTTGCTGTTTTTTTTTTCGCTCCCAATTTTGTCACTTTGTCTTCCTCGAAACTGTAACATACAATATTTTTATTTCTTCAGCGTCTTCCTTTRCGAAGGACCTTCAATTGTCTCTCCCAGAGACAGTAGTTGATGGCTCATCCCTMATAAAGGTCACATTAATTGGTAAGATATTCCATCTAATAGAGCTATATCATCCAATATGGAGTCATTAACTGTCGTATAGTGTCCAAGATCATGTAATGATTCAATCTACAGTTCTGATAAAACTTTAAATATAAGATAGATAAAAAATAAAAAAATGTTTTCGATATTTCGGTCGCTCATCCAGATCTTCCTCAATTWACTCAACTACTTGGATCAGACTGAGTAGGGTTTGTTCCTTAAATGTCCACGTGCACCCAGGATCCTTTGAGGTCGCTTGTTTGGTTTAAAATTGGTCTGTTTGTTTATAGCTGCTTTCCATAATTGGTTGAAAAATCAAAGTTGTCGATTTTTCGTATTTGAGAAAATCCGCACGAAGCTTCTCGGATGCACGTGGGACTTTAAGGCATTTCGTCTTTTTGTCGCGATTTTTTTCGTTTGAAATATGAAGCATTTAGTACAGTTCTAGTTAAATATACATCCCATGWTGCTTCAGGTGATATGCTTGGTTCCTCATTCAACAATTTGGATAACTTACTGCGCATGCCCTATGGYTGTGGAGAACAAAATATGGTCAATTTTGCTCCAAATATTTACATCTTGAAATATCTGCAAGCCGTAAATAAAGTCACGCCTGACATCAAAGACAAAGCAGAGAATTTCATGTTGACAGGTAGGTATCATTTATTTAGTTGTTCTAAAGGTTCCAGTTCTCTTTAAATGAAGTTTATGTTTTGAAAATTAAATTTCATTGTAATATAAACTTTATCTTCATTATCTCTTTATGCTTTATATATTGTGAGATATTGTAAGARTCTTCTTAAGACCCAAGGATGGAAACGTATTGTGAATGAATATTTGAAGTCTTCTCACTTTCTATATGTGAAAAATCCAAGCCTCGACCGCATTGCATGCCGGTTTGTGACGAACCTTTAGACATTGGTTTTCTCAAGTACAAGTAACAAAGAAATGCACCAGAAAMAATTGGTTAATTTAACAATGTATTGTTAGGCTATCAAAGAGAACAGACCTACAGACATAGAGATGGTTCTTATAGCGCATTTGGTGAACGAGACAAAGAAGGCAGCATTTGGTTAGCGACAAAATTGCATTCTTTTTTATATACCTAAGGTTGTCGGATAAAATGGCGAATGTCAATTGTTGAACAGCGATTGCACGACCGAAAGTAGCCATTTAATGCAATTAGCCATGCTAATTGATGAAAAATAATAACTGATTTATACAGTAAGATAGTCTGCGGTAAACATTGGCTCCATTTAGTCTCCATTTCTATGCAAGGTAATCTAATAAGTGAAAGTTTGTTTCTTAAAACAGTGCAACCATAGTCCCTTTCAGTCGCGCATTCTCCCTCGACAAACGACGTTCTCCCCAACAACTTTTTTTGCAATAGGTGCATATATTTGTTAAGTTTTATTTTGATGTACCTTGGGAAGGAGGGAGGGATTCAAGCGCAGCAGCCCCCTGTCAGATTGTCTAAGTCACTCCCAGTTTCGTGCCTCATAGTGATCTGAAAAACAACAAACAAATGAAAATAAAAACGCATGCTGTGAGGAATGAAGACAAATCAATCCCAGGATAGCTTTGCGAGCATTTTGTCGTATATAGCAAAATGGCGGACTTTTAGAAAAGACGGAAAGAACACACGTTCAACTATATAAACAGACTCTTAATTATATACACTCGTTTCGTCGAAGAAAATAACACACCTTTAGTTTTAGCACTAAGAATAAACTTTGGAATATTCTGTGTTTTTTAAAGGCTGACTGCCTTTGTTGTCAAGTCCTTTGCACAAGCCAGGAAGTTCATCTTCATCGATCCCAATTCCTTAGACCTGAGTCTACGGTGGATGGTGCAAAAGCAAAACAAGGACGGTTCTTTTCCTAAAGTGGGATACGTCCACGGCAGCTATCTGAAGGTATATTATCGTTATATAATAACCCTCTTAAGGGTCTGAATGGCGATTCGCGCCAAGAAATGACGTGAGCCTATCTCCACCTAAATGAAATTGAAATTCAATAACTGTGCGGATAATTTATGGCAGCGAGACAAAGCGACTTTCCAAAAATCCATGGCATATTTTATAAGCTCAGAATATACACCTCTGGGAAAATTAATATTCGTTCTCTATATATTTAGAATGAAATACGCTATTTGATTAAATTAAATTATTAGAAAATTATTAAATTAATAGATTATCCTCTATTTCTTTCTGTCCAGGGTGGTTTAAGAGGAGAGCTACCGCTKACAGCCTTTATTTTGATAGCCCTTTCAGAGACAAAAAGCTCTTTGGAGGTAAGTAAACTGTTCACAAAGGACACAAAGCAGTTTTTGCAAATTATGAATTACCTCTCAACTTGTATATAGACATTGATCCTGGCAAAGATCCTAGCKGTCCGCTATCTGGAAAARAACCTAAACAATATAATRATAAGCAGAGATGTATATGGCCTGGCCATAACCGCATATGCACTCAAACTAGAGAATAGTCCAGCAAGCAATAGGGCAMTGTTGGCGCTGTTGAGCCTTGCAATACGGAAAGGTAAGATCGCAATTGCGGCCGTTAAACTAATTGCGCAGTTGATAGTCTACCTCTTTATGCTACAGAAATATTGCACAATGTAACAGGAGTTATGCGTAAGTTAGTAACGTATGACATACGTACGACAGCTACGTACAACTGTACGTAAAACTAAGTTACGTAAAACTTTACAGCATAATACACTATATGTACAGATACGTACACCAGTTACGTATAAACTATAGGTATATATAACAGCTACGTACAACCATACGTATATGAAACTGTTACGTACAACTATACGTACAACAGTTACGTACTGAAATATACTTCACGTGATTATAATGGCTGTCACGATAACTGACCGCGGGTTTACTTACTTGTAGATGGAACTCTCCACTGGTCAGTTGAGAAGAAAAGCCTCGATAAATCGACCAGTTTCCGTCCTTATTACCGACCTCGCTCTGCTGACATCGAAGTAACCGCATATGCTTTGTTGACACTTTCGCTTTTCAACGATATCAATAATGGGCTCCCTGTCTTGCGATGGCTATCACGGCAACGGAACTCTCTRGGGGGATACGCATCGACTCAGGTTTGTTTACACTTGCGATTTTTGCAGAGCGATTCTCGCGGCAATTGTCRCACGTCGATCGCCTGCTTGRAAATTGGCTGCAACTTCGCGGCGATTTTCCRTCGTYGCAACAATCGCAGGGCTGTTTACACGTACGATTTGAGCTGCGCGATAGCAAAGTGGAGATTTTTATTATTAACGCACTGCAAAAATCGCAAGTATAAACTGGCCTTTATAACTGACAGTATTACTTTGATTTGGATACTCCCAGGACACAGTATTAGGAATCCAGGCCATCTCAGAGTTTGCTGCCCGTGTTTACTCACCAAAGATGAATTTCAGTCTCACACTTTCTCACAGTGCATTGAAGAGCTTCTCCAGGACATTGAATGTACATGACGGGAACTCAATGATATTGCAACAAGTGTTGGCAAGTAACAATCTCGATCCACCATCAGTGTTGCTAGAGGGAGAAAAATGAAACGGCTGTAAAGGCAGCAGAATGGGAAAGTTTTCTGCTTCCATCATCGCTTCTTTCGCGCTTCTTTCGCCGCTTCCTTCTGCGCGTTTATTGGTTGATTTTAAGACACGCGTAAGCATTGCATACGTTTCCATAAGCATTGCATACGTTTCCATATGCGTTGCCTACGTTTCCATAAGCATTGCCTACGTCTTCTTCTCTACTTACGCTTATGTACTTAAAAATAGAAATGAAGGCTTACGTAACTTGTGCTTTCTTTTTAGATTCCAAAAGCAGAGGGCATCTTGATAGTGAACGCTTCTGGTTATGGAATAGGTATGCTACAAGTTGGCGTTACGTACCACGTAACCAAGGCACCATTAAAAACTAACTTTGACTTCATTGTCAAGGTGAGTTAAATCAAATTGAGGCCCTTTGTAGTGGCTACATGTACACCTCTCTCACACACCCGAGCCTTTCTTTCTTGTTTGCTGTTTCAGAATCACATAACATTTTTGCACCAATATTAGTTATTGGTAATATTAACCTGAATCTTTTCGTCATTTCGTTTCACTAACAATTATTTTCTGACAGAATATAAAAGAGCAACGCAACCACATTGAAACTCGAATGTGTGCGCAATGGAAAGGAAAAGGCAAGTCTTCGTCTATGGGTGTCATAGAAATGACAATYTTGTCAGGCTTTTCAGCAGACGAAGAACGCGTTAATAAGGTACGCCTGCTTGTAACAGAGAGTAAGTTTTATAAATGAGATCCTTCGTACCGGCATTCCATACTGAAAAACACGAACAAACCAAATTATGTTTGCGCGGACGTGCAATGTGAAGCTATGATTCAATTTCTAATCATGTAACATCTACTATATGTTCCAGTTGATCAAAGATCCAAGCCTGTTCCTCAAACGAATCGATTTCCTGAACAAAAAAATCAYATTCTATTTCGACCAGGTACATCTAATATGAAATAATTGTCAATTTGAATTCGAACTGAAAAATGAATCCTTGTGCTTTTTTAACCCAATTTTGCATATTTTTAATAGATCAACAAATCCAATGCAACTTGYATATCTGTACAGCTTGATCGTACCCATGACATAGGGAAAACCAAGCCTGTTCCTGCTATAGTGTATGACTACTATAATCCGGGTTAGTGTTGACGCTATGAAATCCGTATTAGGAATCACAATGAAGCAGGCTCGTAGCGTCCTTTACGCATATACGCACGTGCGTACTAGTGGCAAGTAATTTTTACAAAAATTACTGAAAAATTCACATAAAATTGATTCCTTTCATATGCCCTCGATGTCTCCCAAAACGCTAGAAATCGCATTTTCAAGAGTTATTATTTCAAAATTTCCTGGGGGAAGTCCAGACTCCCTTAATACTCCCGCCCTTGGCTGTCGTTAGACTTTCAGATCCAAAATATGTGTTGCGGTCCCTGACATGTGCGTACTAGCCAAAACGTCCACGCTACGCGCCTGTGAAGAAGCACCCGTGATCCCATAATAACGACAATTTTGATCCCCGATCCTTGCTAATCCCTGTAAGATGTTCGTGATTCCGATTCCTAGGCATTTCTTCCGCGCAGACAAAATATCTGATCCCCGAGTCTGAAAAATGACGAAATACTCCATTTTCGAATTCAAAGCGAATAACCGCTGTTTTATTTGACAGCAGATTCTCTTACGCAAAGAACTTACCAAACACAAAAGAAAGCACGAGAAAATGTTGTGAGGGTAACCCTTTCCCAGAAGTCTCATACCTTAAGTCTTGTGGTAAGGATTAGTCTCAACTTGGGGAAAATGAAAATTTTCAAGGCTTTTGCAATAACRATATTTTCTCGTGCTCTCAGCTCTTTTGTGTAAGAGAATCTGTTATCAAATGCAGCAGCGGTTTTTCGCTATGAATTCGAAACTGGAGTATTGTTATCCCTGCATCCCATATACCTCGTTCCTACCATGAAGWTAAGGACTTCATCAGTCAAGATATTCAAGTGCGCTCAAAGTTATATCTGAATTATCACTGATATGGACTTTTCTCATCATCAGAAAACCGAGCAGAAGCCTTATATTCAACAAACCAAGTCAAAGACCTGAATATCTGTAGTGTTTGTCCTTCATGTTTTGGGTGTTACGCCACATCCACCAATTCATCCACCAAGCAAGAGATTACGATCCCAACTCCCTGTACAGGCTGCGAAAATCAAACTAAAACGAGGATCAATGCCGATGCTAGCCAGCGCAACAATACGGGAACAAATCACGTTGACACTTGTGTGGTTTCAATGCTTTGTGCACTCGTCTTACTGTTACAAACAACTGTCTTGTAAACAGGAAAGTCAGTCCTGACAAAGGCACAGCGTACYAAGCGKYATCAGACCTCTCTTTCGTGTGACCACACCCAATTACGCGACAATGACTACCGACTGAGTCGGTGGAATATGTGGTYAAAGCTATATACAAGACATAAGCAATCAATATAAAACGACTTTTTTATTCAAAACTTTGGTATAAATCTCTTCAATTTTTGTAACATTTTATGTCGCCGTTGATAAGGAACCAAAAGCGAAGTGATGATTACATCACGTTCCTGGTTAAATTAACCATTTCCAGGCAAAGTGCTGGCTGACAGACGACAACATTTAAATTACTGTCTACAATAATAACATTACATACGATGAACAGGTAAATGCAGACCTGTAGACGTCTCGCATGCTTGTTGCGTAAAAAAAACGTAATACGAACCGAGAGTCGCGTAAGAAAGATAACGTAATACGAACCGAAAGTTCAAATAAGCAAAAAAGCTTTAAAGCTTAATAACAACAAATAATAACTAAATAATAGTTATCTTAAAACAAAATATCCAACGAAAACATGTAGACACGTCAAAAAACGTCTTTAACTTATTTTAAGAGTGAATGACGTTATATGCGTATTTTATACCACGGAAATCCCAGAAATAA